AAGTGCCCACCCGCAAGGAATTACCGTATACACTGTTCCTCATGGAACCCAAGGTAACCGTGTTAAAATAATAACAGCTTTTCTCAGTGTAAGCAGAGCCCGCAGGAGGGCCCATAGAACTGTGCCCTTGTGGGTGAGTCTTGAGATGTCATTATGCATTGAGGAGAAACAGGGTCACGTTCAGTGCAGTGCTATTTTCAAATCAATGAGACAGCCCCATAATCAGTCATCCTTATGAAATGACTGGTTTTTAACTAAGAAACCAGGGAAAGCACAGTGAGTGGTTAACTCCAGCACATAAGTCAGAGGAGAGCAGAATGTAGAATTATTAAGAAAAAAAAATACGCACACACACACACACACGTATATCTCCATCCCAACAAGATTGGAAACTGAAAATGTCTTTTCTCCCTGGGACATGATGCTAACAGTTACCATCAGTCACTCAATCAGCAGACACTGGCTAAAGACCTGCACTGTGGCATTGGGATCAGAAGCTAAACCAGAGAGAGCCCTGCTCTGGAAGGAAATGTAAATAAGCAATGGCAGTTTCGGGGAGGGGGATGGTAGCGAGTTAGGCGAGAGCAGGTGGTGACCAAATCTCAGTTCTGTGGCTCAGCTTGTCTGAGCCTCCTCTTGTTTGTAACATGGAGCTAATACTGGCCTTTGGGGATTGCTTTGGGGATTAAGTCAAATGATAGCATGTTATATGAAAGTGCGGTAATGGTCTGTAGACGTGAAGGGCACTTGTGGAGGGCAGGATTAACTCCAGTGGGTCAGTCCTTCCAGGCTGAGAGGGTTAAACCCTCACCCTGGCTGGCGACTCACGGACCGAGGGCCTCTGGGGTTGTGGTCCTCCTGGAAAGGGCTGTTTGCCTTCCTTTGTCTAAATCCCCACCTTGACACCCCAGTGATCACTTATACACAAGATTGATTTTCCGTATCCAGAGAATGTATGAACGTTCAAATGACTGCGTCTTAGAGAATCAAAGAGTAGAGCCAAAAGGACCCCACTGATTGTGCACCAGGCATGGAAGCTGGGTTTTGTTTCATGTGCCAGCTTTCATCGCGTGTCAGGCAGTGGCTACATCAGGCAGTGCTGTGTTCAGAAGGATTCTGAGGCCTCCTTCCAGGCTCAGTAAGAAAGTGTTATGATTGACTAGTTATGTCTGCCACAGACTCAAGATCAGAAAGTCAGGAAATTTTCCAATCCTGATCTGATTCAGTCTCCACATTTTAGAGGCTGGTGTACTTTAATTGCCCCACTATGTTTCTATCCCCAGGTCCACCTTTATCACACGTGCGGTATCAGTTTCCCTTCTGTTTTGGAAGCTGATTGCTACAAACATCTGTAGCTTTATGTATAATTTAGGTCAGCCTATATGCGTTCCATTTATGCTAAGAAAGGCTGGAGTGAGTTTCTCTGTGTCAGAACTCCAGGAAGCAGGTAGTAAAGTAAGTAAGTAAGATTTTTCTTAGACTCGACCATTAGCTCAGGCTGTCATGGGATTCCCCCTGGGGTTGTGGGTAGGTGTAAAGGGTGTCTGATGTGTTCGGCCCTCCCCCCTCCATTGGTTGCTTGTGACTCACTAGGTACAGAAATCCCCGTTGCTTCCTACCCCGCCTCCCATTTCTCATGAAAACCCACTTTAATAAGCTGAAGCACAAAGCGTTTATAATTTGACAAGCACCGTATCCTCTTGTGTCTAGGCCTTTGCATATGCTATTCCCTGTGCCTGAAGAGCCCCCAGATCTCTCCTCATCCTGGGGTCTCAGCTCAGAAGTCATTTCCTTTAGGAAGCCTTGACTGATCCTTACTGCAGACTAGTCCTTCCTCTGGGGTCCTCTAGAAGTTGCTGGTTTTCTTGGTCTGAGCTCAGAGGACTGTGTTGATTATGGGTATATTCTCAGAAAGTACCCAGCACCTAGTAGGTGCTTGGGAGGGAGCTGTCTGTAGGGTTGTTTCTTCTTTGCCTGTGTAACTGTGTCACTGAGCCATCCTTGCCAGCAAGGACCCAGTAGAGAGTCTTATGATGTGTTTTCGAACTATTCAAAACCCACAATCTGGTAGATTTTAAAAATACTAGAAATCCTGAGAGAAATTGGGCATCAGCTTTCCATGAGCAATGAGGGAACTTCTGCTTTTCTCTCCCTCTCTCTCTCTCTCTCTCTCTCTCTGTCTGTCTCTCCTTTTTTAAGTTTCCTAGGAATTTGTGTAGGGATAAAAAGCACAGGATACATTTGTTATAGCAGATGTTTTTATTCACTTAGCTTGGTGAGAATGAGCACAGCGCTGCTTCCCGTGAATGAAGGCAGAGGTGAATTTCCTAGTGCCCTGTTCACCACCAAAACGCTAACTTTAAATAATTATTCCCTGAACATTTTTCTAAAATGAATTCTCTACTTTTAAAATCCTTTTTCCCCTTCTGTTACAAAACCTAGCAAACTGGAATTCCGTACTTTTCCAGCAGTGCTCTGGACCAGATTTCGTTTTTTCTTGCTCTCTGATGGGTGTAAATGAATGAATGAAGGGATGAAGGAATGACTCACGCTTGTCATTGTGTCTAGCCACAGGATGCTGAGGGAGCAGAGCCCTTCATTCTTTCACTGAACAGCCTCAGACTGTAGTTTTAAGCCCTCGTGCATGTGTGCAGGGTTTCTTGTCTCTTCCTTGCTATCCCATAACCGGCTTATGCCCTCGCTGCTCACAGTGGGCCTTTCTTGTGCTCCTTTCCACTTTTAATTTGCTGCTTTCATCTGCTGTAGGCTGGGAGAGTGGGTCATCAGAGTTGCTCAAATTATCCAAAGTATGATATAATTAGGTCCTGTGGGGCCTTTGCTGGGAAGAGCACGTAAAGATTCTTCGTGAACTCTGACCTCTGTTTGAGCTGATCCAAGGCCTTTAAAATGCTTTCTTCTTGTGTGTCAGCTCTGCTGGCTACAGCACCAGGTACACGGCCTATGAAAGGTGAATCACTGCAGACGAGGAGCCTGGTGACAGCTGGGAGGGGTCTGTACTTGTTATATCCACCAAAGGGCTTACGAGGGTCCCTTGCCAGTCATCTGGGGACTGACCGCGAAGGGACAGAGGTGAGGACAGCCACCTGGGCTGGCATGAGCACTGTGGCCAGGGGAAGATTTTGGTGAGACTGATTGGAGTTTTTAATACTCTGGTGGGTATGTCCTTTTCTTTTTGTCAGAACTAGAACCGTGACTGGTCACCACCTCAGCCTTAATAGAGAAGTGAGTCATGGTGGTGTTAACACGTATTTATGTCTATGGATTAGAGCCTCTTGGGCCAAATAAAAGGCCTCCGGTGGGAAAAAAAAAATCCATTAAAGTCTTTGAGAATTTTTCCGTTTCAAACATTGATCAAGTTCTATGCTTATTAGCAAAGAGAAGGTTTGATCATCGTGGGTTGATCTGCAACACCAGACCCGATTGACTCTTAAGAGTGTGGAATCTGAATGCTCTGCAGGGACCCTTTTGTCCAGCCCGCCAGCCCGTCCCACCCACCTTCAGACTAGGCGGTGGGAAGGGCGATGCCAAGCCCCCAGTTCTGAGACTCGACCATAATAATGTCATCTCAGGAAAAGCTGTTTTTAGCTATTTCTCAGGTGAGAGGTATTAGGATGAACTCACATGTTACTCCATACACGCCTGACACCCAAGGACCCGAAGTGACCGACAGCACTGGCTCTTGGACATGAGTTTGGTTTTCTGCATCCCGGGTGTCATGGATGAGGCTTGGACCATTTTAGCACCGTGTGAGCGGGTGTTGGTAAGCCTTTCAGGAAAACAGTGCTTTTCCTAGCATGTCCCTTCTCCCCCAGAGAGAACAGGATATTATGAAAAGGGCAGAAAACCGTAGAGCTTCTCATCCGAAGGGCACCCTGCACGTCGCCCAGGCCAGCTGCCTCCCTCTCACAGATGTGGAAACTGAGACTGGGAAACAGCACGGCTTGTTCCCGTCACAGGCCTCCTGGTGACCAACTCAGGTCTGGAGCTCCTGTATCCTGACTCTGTTTATTTAAGTGACTGATAAACAGACGAAGACGCATTTGGCCTCAAGCATAATGGAAAAGACACAGTGTAAAATGATGAAATACGATTTTTTGGCCTGATTGGCAAAGCTGAGAAGGAGTAGTAAAGCCGTGTTGGTCTGGGCATGGGGAAGTGGGACTTACAGTATATTGGTTGTGAGAGAGAAAAATGGCAGAGCCTTTCTGCAGGGCAGTTTGGAAGTAGGAAAAGCTTGAAAGATGAGTTTATCCTGAAGGCGGGAGTCAGGATATCCATAAAGAATTAGCTGTAAGATGTTCTTTGTAGCATCGTTTAGATTAAAATATTGAAAAATCGGATCTCTGGAAAGGGAGTGGTTGAATTTGTTTGTGGCGTTTGTACAAAGTAAGTATGAGACGATCAAAAATGATGTGTGTGTCGTGTCTGGGACTTGCTTTGGGGGATGCTCCAGCCAGACATTGAGAAACAAAGGCGGTGGCAGTGAGGAGGAGATGGAATAAACGTGCAAAATGCTGGTAACGTGAAGCGGGTGATGAGCGTGGAGGTTCGCTTTCCTCTTCTCCTTCATCTGTTTGAGATTTTGCAGGATGGAAGGGCAAGTTTGTGTCCATTCTTATTTCAGAATCGATTGAGTATTTTCCTGTGGGGACTGTTCTCATCCATTGTACTTTGCTTACCCCACACACTAAAAAGCGATGCTCACGTTCATTAATTATCGTGGAAAGATTTTATGATATATGTGAACGGAAAAGGGCCACAAATAGTTATGAACAGCATTCTCATTTGGTTTAAGAAAAAAACAAACCCATATGGAGAAAACAGATGGAGTGTGTACACCTTAAGTGCATCTCACTGGGTAGAGAGGTTTTTTTTAGCTTATTTGGTTTTTTTTTCCCCCTGCAGCAGATATGTGTATATCACTAGTGAAATTTTACAAACAGTTGAGCGTAATTAACTATGTTGCTCTTTTGATTTAGGGAAGAGTATGGAGGAGATTAAGAAGGTGCTGCTGTTGGTGCTGGGCTGTGCTGTTCAGGTAGGGATTGGGCAGGGGGCAGAGACGAGGGCTCTTAGGTTTGGGTTTGTGGGGATAAAACACCCCCTTGGGTGAGGTAGGAGTGCAGCTGCTTTCAGCCCAATAGGATGGAAGGTCGCGGGGTTCCTGCGAGAGACGTGACACCGACTTAGGCGGCAACCGTTTCTAGCACCTTGGGCAAGAGGCCAGGTGGGGATCCCTGGGGCCGGGTGCCATTAGCAAATTGTCCCCAGTGTAGGAACATCTTGAGCAAGGATCAGCACACAACCGGTGGGCCAAATTTGACCTGCCACCTATTTTTGTAAATAAAGTTTTAGGGGGACATAGCCATGCTCATTCCTTTACATATTACCTGTGGCTGCTTTCACACTACACCAGCAGAGCTGAGACCCATGACCTGTCCAGTCGAAGATATTTTTTGTTTTACCATCTGGCCCTTTACAGATGAAGTTTACCAAGTGCTGCCCTAAACCAGCTGTTCTTGATCTTTACTTGTTTAAGAATCCCCTGGAAAGCTTGTCTGTGTCCCACCCCCACCCCGGTGTTTTTAAAGACAACCCCCCGACAGAGGTGATTATGATATAGGTAGTCTGAGCCACTTCTAGAGAAACCTCAGTTGTGAGGGGCTGGCTGGTAGGAGGGCAGAGCACTCTTGATTATAGGAGAAAAAGCCAGGGTTGGGGTAGGTGTCTCCTTTTGAAACTATTGCTGTGGCTCTGGTGGCCCCAGGTTGCCCTTGTAAAACACTTTCATTAACACTTGTAACCCTCCACAGTGTGAGAGGAAAGAGGAATTTATCGAAAGAATCAAACAGCTGGACATTGAGACACAGGCCGGGATCGTGGCCCATATACAGGAGGTAGGTGGGGAGCTTTGTGGGGCTTAGCCGTGGACCATTGCTCCCATGGCATCCAGCAGGCAGGCCCTCTCCACCAGTGAAAAGTCTAAAGAGCACATCCCCCATTAATGATTTTGCTAATTTTAGGTTTCAGACACTACAGGCAAATTGATTCGATTTGGAAAGGTGGCTGTTAGCAAGCTAAAATAAAGTGGCGGCTAAAATGAAAAAAACTTTTTCAGAGACTTCAATCAAGTCTTCTTGTGCCTCTTCTTCTTGCCTAATATGGACTCAGACTATTTTTAAGAGCTGTCAAGTGGTTTAGGCTCAGAATTTGATTTACAGTCCCTGAAAATGTATCCTGGCAAATGTCACCCTGCTTCAAATGGTTGATCCTTGGAGAGAGAGATTCACTGCTTCTGTCAGTGACGTGGCAGAGAAACAGCTGCCGCCCCTTGGGAAGTTAAAAACCAGCGAGTCCCAGAAGGGCTGTATCCGGAGACTCGGCCCCCTGGGTGGGGTCAGGAGGGCTCTGCACTAAGGGCAGCCCCTCCGCCCGTTGACTTTGGCAGAGGTGGTATCAACTGAAGGGGTAGTTGCCCTGGAAACCAAGCACCCGCCTGAAAGTTAGTTCCCTGACCTCCACCCCACCCTCCTCCAAAAGAAGCCTTGTACGTTTTAATCATCTTAGGAGGTATGGTGCAGCCTTCCGTCTAATTGGACAGATGAGATAAATGCATGAAAAAGACATGAGCAGGAGCACGTAGGAGCAGGTGTGTAACTGGCAGAGGCAGCTGAACACAGAGCTCCCCACGCCGGCTCTGGGGACAGCCTGCTGGGCTCCCGCAGCCGGCTAGGGCACTGTGGGTTGCAGACTCTGAGTCAGGATTTGAAGGAGGAGGTGGATGCAGCGTATGGCAGGTAGAGGGTCCAGCAAAGCCCGTCAGGCTTGTAGGAAATATTCTCAACCATTCGTGTCAGTGACCTGTTAGCCTAAGTACCATTCTGCCTTTTAACTTTCCTCGTGTGTCCGTGTGTTTTGAAGATGTATCTGAGGACTAGGTCCTCGAGACTAGCTAGGTCTGTGCTACTCACTGTCTCCCCTTCCCTGTTCAGCCAGCAGGATATTTTTTTTTAAAAAAGCATGCACCCAAAAAAGAAGCCCTGCGAGATTATCAAGTTCGGTGACTGGCTGTGGGAACAGAACTTCAGAATTAGTTGGGTGCTTCTTTTTTTTTTTTTTTTTTTTTTTTTTTTGCTGTACGCGGACCTCTCGCTGTTGTGGCCTCTCCCGTTGCAGAGCCGTGTCCCCTGCATCGGCAGGCGGACTCTCAACCACTGCGCCACCAGGGAAGCCCAGTTGGGTGCTTCTTAAACATCCAGGTGCCCGGGCCCCACGGGAGATCCATTGCGTCAGAATTGGGAGCAGGACCATAAGCCTTTAATTACAAGCTCCTTGAGTTACTGGTGTGCAGCTGTGGTTGCACCCCTGGACCCCCTTTCCATAGACCTTTCCCAAACACTGGTATGGAGCAGGCCTGGAACCCGGCCTCTCAACCCCAGTTCTGGGCCTTTGGGGTGCCCCATACAGTGGGGGGAGATTTACTGAATCCCAGCTTTTCTTCGTAAGGGAGGAGAGGTAAGAAAGCAGGTGTCTTTTGAGAAACCGAAGGGCCCTGTCTTTGTTTCTTTGTTTTTAAACTAGTCTCTCTCTCCATATACTGCTCTGAAAAAACTTAAGAACTTTTTTTGGTGTGCCTCTCTGAGGGGATATCCCTGGTTTCTTTTCGTTCTCCCCTGTTGAGGCTTGAGTGTGCTAATACTCACCTTCCCAAACTGGAAGGATGGGGACTCAAAATGTGGTCTTCTGCCTCCTCCGGCTGGTCTGGGGGTGTCGGGTTGAGAAGGTCAGGTCGGCAGAGTCGTTGCAGAGGCTGCCCGGTGTAGACGTAGCCATGGGCCTCCGCTCACACCTGATGAAAAGGGAAGATCCAGGAGGTCTTCTGTGGCCTGTGGGGATGAGATACAGGCTTACCTGAAAATTGTTTTAGACGATGAAGTATTTCCCCAAAAGCAATGTAAGATCGTTATGCACCCAACATTCCAACATAAGATTTTTAACATTTGCCATATTTGCATTAGATTCTATCTTTTTTTAACACATAGTCCCTCTTTGCACCCGTGGCATCCCTAGGACTTAACCTTCTTTGTGTTGTAAATTGGCGCTTCGGTAAGCATATCTGAGGGCAGTGTATTTTTAGGGAAATACTGTATTATAAGGAGAGCCCTCTGGTATTAAACAAATCCGTGTCCTCTTGGAGCCGGTGTTGAGACTGACTTAACGCCCGGCCTGACCTGTGCTGGTGGGACTTCGCTGGGGGGCGTCTGCACTCGCTTGGGGAGCCCCCCGCTCTCCACGGAAGATCTGTCAGTGAGGGTGAATGACGTCAGGGGGCCGGGTCAGCTGTGACCCCACCCCCTGGCTGCGGGGTCGGGGAGCTCCCGGAACCCCCGGCCGTGCCCTGCCTACCTCTGCAGCGCCTGACCTGTGCCCGCAGGTGACCCACAACCAGGAGAATGTGTTCGACCTGCAGTGGTTGGAGCTCCCGGACGTGGCCCCGGAGGAGCTGGAGGCCCTGTCGAGGAACATGGTCTTCCACCTCAGGCGGCTCATCGACGAGAGGGACGAGTGCACGGAGGTGCGTCTGCGGGTGGGTGGTGGACTGGCAGGCCTGGGAGGGACGCCTGGGCCCTGGCCACGCGGCCACCCTCCTCATCCTGACTCTTCGTCTCAAGCCTGCTGCCCCCTGGTCCTGTCTCTCTGGTTTCTGTTGGCGGTGGGAGCCAGGCACTTGCCCTGCAGCCAGCGGTCGCCTCCGAGAGCCCCGCGGGAAGGCATTTAGTCGTTCATCGAACGTGGAGCTCAGAGACCCTCCTCGTTCACGTGCTCCTTTTGACATCCCGTTACTCCTGCTGCCTCCTGGTTTCTCAGTCTCGGCCGACGCCTCTCACTTCCTTCTGGTCCGCTGACCACTGTGCCCCAAGTTCGGGTGCAAGCGCTCCTTCCCTTCCCCTGCCCGCCCCGCTGCAGCTGATCGTGGACCTCACCCAGGAGCGGGACTACCTCCAGGCCCAGCACCCGCCCAGCCCCCTCAAGTCCTCCAGTGCCGAGTCCACCCCGAGCCCCACCAGCAGCCTGTCCAGCGAGGACAAGCAGCACCTGGCCGTGGAGCTGGCGGACACCAAGGCCAGGCTGCGCCGCGTCAGGCAGGAGCTGTGAGTCCTCCGGTCGGCTGGGCTGTTGGTTCTGCTCTTGCACTGTGTGTCACGAACACCCGTTTCTAGCACGTGTGGTGCGGCGGACAGGAGAGCTCTGACTTGGGCCCTATAGAGTTAGCTGGGCTCCGCCCTGAGCGCCGTCGGCGACCCTTCCCGGGCCTGTACCAGGAGGGGTTCTACCAGGTCTCTAGGGCTCAGGCCGTCTGGGCTTAGATGACCACCCACTGGTATGGTTTTTGGCTGGAGGGAGGATGTGGCTGGCCCCCGTCTGGTGAGCCGTCCCCATTGCCCGCAGCTGGTGAATATGCCACTTTGCCCATCACCTCGGCAGCTGCCCGCCTCCACCTCGTCACCAGTGGGCCCTGCTGCCTGCCTGGCAGTGAAGTGGTGTCACTGCAGCCGGGGTCTCCTTACCCCTGTTCCCCCAGAGGGAAGCCCGCGGCCCAGTGGACGCAGTTTGAGGGTGGGCATTGAAAAGTTAAAAATGGAAAAGACTTTGAGTCAGGAACGTTTCTGCAAGCCCCACGTGCTGTTCCCCTCCTCATCCCCAGAAGCGCAGTTCCCTTTCCTTTTCCTGCTGGGGGCTTGCAGGGTGGCGGGCAGGCCCCTTCACCACACTCGCTCCGAATCGCCCCCAGGGAGGAGAAGACAGAGCAGCTTGTGGACACCAGGCATGAGGTAGATCAGCTGGTGCTGGAGCTGCAGAAAGTCAAGCAGGAGGTGAGCGGGGAGGCCTGTCTGTGTGTCCGCGTGTGTCGAGGGGACGGGGTGGGGCGGGGCTGGGGCTCCCCGGTAACTGTGGCCCAGGGGTTCGGGCATGCAGCAGGGGGAGCTTCCAGCAAAGGCTTCTGTTTCCTTCCCGCTCAAAGTAACACTGCCCGAGAGCCGGTTGTCCTGAGAACGGCTGAGGGGGTGACTGTTTCTTAGTGACAACGAGCGGGGACCCCACGCGGTGGCCTGCACGTGGAGCCCCTTGGCCACCGAGATGTCCTCGAAACGCTGCGCTTCAGAGACTTGGCCCCCTCTTCCCTCCCCAGAGGGGTGCCCTAAGCTAGGCTCCCCTGTCTCTGCCTGTCTCCCAGAATATCCAGCTGGCGGCTGACGCCCGGTCTGCTCGTGCCTATCGCGACGAGCTCGATGCCCTGAGGGAGAAGGCGAACCGTGTGGAGAGGCTAGAGATGGAGCTGGTGCGCTGCCGGGAGAAGCTGCACGACGTGGACTTCTACAAGGCCCGCATGGAGGTACGCGCCCAGCCTCCGGGGGGATGCAGGGGAGGGTGTCGGGGCTGAAGGGGGCACAGAGGCCAGGATCCAGGTGGGGTCACTGATGCTTTGCCCACCAATCCTGACTGCCTCGCATCAGCTGCAGGTTCCTGGACTCTCCTTTCTGAGAAATGAGGTGTTTTGCCCCCGTTGCCAGTCTTGGGTTTGGAGATGGGTTTAACGAGCGGGGTGAAATCAGGATGTCAGGACGTACTGAGTGGCCTGTTTGACGGTAAGAAATAACCCCCAAGTCTCTTCTCGCCACCTAGGTGGCTTTTGAAGGGGTTGAACACAGGTTGCGGGGACGCTGGTGTTGCCCTCTCCCTGCTCAAGGCCTCCTGCCGAGCTGCTGGCAGGCGTGTGCGGGGACGGCTGTTTGGCCCTGACATGCTCCCCCCCAACTCCTGCCCCGCTGTAGACGGGCCCTGGGGCCCCTGAGCTGGGCGGAGATGGGATGGGGAAGGCTGTGCTCCAGGGCCCGTGAGTTCCTCAGACCTACTTAAGGAGTGTTTGTTCCCTGAGGAATGTTAGTGGCACATTGGAGTCAGTGCATTGTCCTTGCAAACCACCTGCAGACGTGCCATCCGCCCTGCTTAGCCAGAGGCTTCGTGTGGACCTAGAGCCCTGAGGGCAGGGCCTGGGTCCTACCCGACTACCCGGGGAAGAAGCATGAGTTTTTGTCTCTTCTGGAATGACACAGTGTTAGGTGTGACGGGCAGTAGGGCAGAGAGAGGAGCACGGCCGTGCTCTCGAGCTCGTTCACGGCTGTGGACAGCTGCCATGCAGGGGCGCTCCTCTGCATACAGGGGGGGTGACAGGCAGCGCAGGTGCCCTCTCCCGGAACCTGTCCAGTCTCACCGCTGAGAAACAGCTGCCTGTCACAGAAGGAAGAATGCATTAGTGCCACGTGGGAGGAAAGGTAAAGGACGGGGATTCAGGGTGAGGGCGAGGTTAATTTTGGTTAGAATAATATGGAACACAAATTTCCATGTTTTGTTTTTAAACTTCTGGTGGCTTTCATGTGGGTCCTAGTCTAGTTTACATAAGGATTAAAACAGCAAGGAGAGGAGAGCGGCGTGGGCACCCCTAGGTACAGGGGGACTATGTGGGGTGGATGCACGGAGTGGTCCTTGACTTGCTTTTGCAAAGCATGGTCGCACCTCACTGCTGTCAGGGCACGGGGGTTGCTGTCCAGAGGGCCGCGTGGGAGGAGGACAAAGGCAGAAAGGTTGCCTGGGAGATTCCTGTTGTCCCATGTTGTGTTATTGTCTGAAATTCCCAACACTGAGGACAGGCGCATTGGTGCCGTGTGTGTCCTGGGTAAAGATAAGGTGGGCCTGTCTCTGCTCCTCTCTGGGAGTTACAGCTTCCTGGTCTGTGCTGGCTCTGAAAGAAACAGTAGTCTGAGATGCAGAGACATAGCAGGGCACGGTCCTAGCTGCCACACCAACTTGGTGGGTGTTGGGCAAGTCTTGTCCCCATCTGTGAAAGGAGGAGTGGTCTGGGCGTCTCTGAGACCCTTGTGCCCTGGCGTCTCATGACACAGGAGCACGTTTCCAATGAGCTTACGCTAGCGAGCTGCTCTCCACAGAGATGGGGGCCCCTGGAACCAATCCATGCAGTGATTGCTGGGTTGTTGGCAAGGCAGTCAGGAGCTGGGTTAATGGTGCGGTGCACACACACATCACATTCTTATGATATCCCCCCGCAGTGCCCAGGTTCAGGAGGGGAGATGGGCTACGGTTTGGTCTGCCCTGCCCATCCGGCTGGGCCTGGGGAATGGGGCCCCAGCTCGACTTCCGCCCTGGCCAAGCCTCTCTGACCCCAGGCAGGGTCGCTCACCTGTGCTCTGGGGTTCCAGCAGCTCTCCCCACAGAGTGCAGTTCGTGAAGTCAGAAACTACATCTCTGTCATCTTCAGCAGGGGGAGGTGCTCAGGATACATTTGTTGACTTGAGTCCCATGCTTAGGATCCTCAGGATGCTCTCACCTTTAATTTTTTTTTTCCACCTTTAATTAAAAAGAAAATCAAACCCTTCCCACTCTCCCCCGACCCTCTCGAGCTACCCCGGTCCCTCTCCGAGCTTGTCTGAAAGGAGAGAACACCAGCTGTGTCCTTCATTGCCTCACCTTCTAACCCAGTCCTCCAGGTCTGCCTCTCCCTCTGCTCACCTGAAACCATGCTTGAGAATCAGGGTCCACGACTCCTGTGCCAGTCCAGTGGGCACTTCCCAGCCTCCCTCACCCACCCTCTCTGTGGGCTTGGACACCACCACCGTCCGCCCCTCACTCACCTGGCTTTCCTGAGTCCCGAACTTCGTCTTCTTGGGCCCATGCGGGTGGTGGTCACCTTGCTCTGCGTCTACCATCTGGCCTTTCTCCATGACGTCTTCTCTGCCTCCTGCCCCTTCTTTAGCTGGCACGTACGGACTAACAGGTCCCAAATCTTCATCTCTGGGCTGGGCTTCTCCCGCACTCCAGACCTCAGTCTGTCTCAAGGTCAGCGTGTCCAAATGCAGTGTCCCTCCCTCCCTCCAACCCGCCCATACTGTCTCTAGACTGGACTCACCGTCCACCGAGGCAGGTACTCAAGCCAGAGCCAGCTCGGCCTTGATTCTTCCTTCTTCTCGCCCCGCTCCCGCAGCCCCAGGTGCTGTCCCTCTTCCAGAGCCCATTTCCCCACCTCCCAGCCTGTCCCTGGCCGAGGCGGATGTTCGGAGAGTGAGTCCCAGTGCCCGGCCGGCCTTCTCCCTTGTTGCCTTCTCCCATTATTCCAGTGCCTGCGCAGGAATAACATCATCTTTATTCCAGAATGCCCTCCACAAGCATCCGAGTTGGCCGTTCTGCCCCCGCCTCTTCTCGTTCACATCTGCCTGGGCTGCTGCCAGAGTGGCCTTTCTAAGAGCTCCTCAGGCACCTCCCCGTTGCTCTTGGGATAAAGTCCACACTCCACCTCTTCTTCTGACACCCACTCTGGCCCCCGTGGAACTCTCTGCTCCGGCCAAACCGAGTCCCCTTCAGGTCCGCTGGTGCCCCCTGAGGCCCCTCGGCCCAGCGCCTCTCCCTGACACAGGGAGGGCCGGTGAGGGGTGGGCAGGCCACACTCTGCGGGCTGCATCCCCAGCCCAGCCCTCCATTCCTTTAGGCCCCTTCTTACCCCCAGGCAGACTCATCGCGTTGTGTCGTAATGATGCATCCCCTGTTTCCCACCCACACTGGCAGCTCCTTGAAGACAGGATCTGTGCCTTCCTGACCTTGAGGCTGAGTCCCTTGGTGCCCATATTGTCCAGCTCAGAGATGGCCAAACTACCATCAGTCCCGGGGCGGTGTCTGACCCACCATCAGCTCTTTTTCTTTTTTTAATATTTATTTATTAAACAACCCATACATTGTTAGTATAGACATCATGCAAGGTTAAAACATACTCAAACATCAAGATCCACATTCAGGGCTTCCCTGGTGGCGCAGTGGTTGAGAGTCCGCCTGCCGATGCAGGGGACGCAGGCTCGTGCCCCGGTCCGGGAGGGTCCCACGTGGCGCGGAGCGGCTGGGCCCGTGAGCCGTGGCCACTGGCCCTGAGTGTCTGGAACCTGTGCTCCGCAGCGGGAGAGGCCACGGCAGTGAGAGGCCCACGTAAGTTCTAGAGGCTGGAAGTCTGGGGTCTAGGTGCCAGGGTGGTTGGGCTCTGGTGAGAGGTCCCTTCTTGGCTTGCAGACGGTTGCTTTCTTGTTGTGTCCTCACATAGCAGAGAAAGAGGAAGAGGAGTAAGAGAGAGAGGGAGGGAGGGAGAGAGAGAGAGAGAGGGAGAGAGGGAGAGAGGGAGAGAGGGAGGGAGGGAGAGAGGGAGGGAGGGAGGGAGACAGCACCATCAGCTCTTATAAGTAAAGTGTCACTGGAGCACAGCTGCGCCTGCTCATTTGCACAGCCCGTGGCTGCTGTTGAACTGCGCCTGCAGAGCTGAGTAGTCGTGACAGACTTAGGACCCGAGAAGCCAGAAATATTTACTCTCTGGCCCTTTACAGCCCATGATCTGGCCCACGGTAGGTGCAGTGAGGTTTTAAATGAGAAGCAATAACTGTGTGTTTATGCAGCTTCTTCCACACACCAGGAACTAACTGTGCTAAGCTCAAACCGTATCATCACATTTAAGCCTCCTGGTGGCCTGGTGAGGTTGAGTAGCCAGCGTCTAGGTCCTCTCCTTTTTTCAGATAACAAAACTGAGAAGAAATTAATAACTTGCCCAGCATCGCAGTTGGCGAAGAGGTGGACCAAGGTGGCGTTGAAATACCTCTCTCCACCTCTGGGACCCCAGCCTTGCCAAGGAAGGAGGAAATAAAAGGGGTGGGGTCACGCAGACAGAAGGGGTGCAGGGGAGGGGAGCTGGGGGAGCGGGTGACGGCGGCCACTGCCTCAGACGCCATGGGGGCTAGAGGGACGCCCGGCCTCAGGCAGTTCATGTCAGCACCTGGGCATCACATTGTAAGCCGAGAATGTTGAAATGCAGGGAACCAAGATCACCTCGAGCAGGGAGACCTCTGTTCCCACTTGGGACTCTGTGTTTCCTAATGACTTTAAAGGAGTTTTGATAAAATTCAGCAGAAGGAGAAGTTAGAGCAGGGCAGACCTGATGCTTGGTTTATGGTTCAGTCCACCACGCTCCTCGAATCAGAAATTTAAAAGCAGGCTGGTGCTCTATGAAGCTTAAGGGGCTGCAGCAGAACCAGACGGAGGTTAGCGAGGGGCTTGGGTGCAGTGGGCAGGAACCCGTTGTTTCTTTGGTTCTATCCCACCTCCTGGAGTTTGGTGCTTTTGTTAGCCTGTCGCTTGGTGACGCTCAGTGAGTGCTGCCCTGAACAGTGTCTCACGGGGTGGGGGCGTGACAGGATGGTGATAACAGCAGCCGACCTGCTTACTGGGCTCGGGCCCTGTGCAGGACTACTTCACGTGCGTTATCGCCTCTGATCCGCCCTCAGCCCTGTTTTCGTGCCCAGCAGAGGACGAGGGGTCGGTGGTTGAGAGACAGGCGTTTGCTTCAGGCGCCACGGCTGGTAGCGCACGTGGCTGGCGGGGGACCGGAGCCATCGGCCCACTTTCCCAGTCACTGCTCCTGGTCATCACGTAGACGAGCGGGGGCAGCTCTCCAGCCATTTGGGGACCAGCCGTCGGGCCTGGCCTGTGATTTCCTGAACGTGGCCCCTCAGCTGTTTGCCGGGCTGGGTCAGGCCTTTAAGTAGCCACCTGACTCAGTTGGGGTCAGGTCCTCAGCGGCGGGCTGGCCTCGGGCCGCTGCCCAGAGGCGAGGAGGCGGGCGTCTCCCTGGGGGCCGAGCCCTGGGCTTGCTGCGTGAGCTTGGGCTCACTTTCTGGCAGATCTGCCTTCTCGCGTCTGAGGCAGTGAGGTGTGCAAGGCTGGTTATTTCTGTTGCCTAATATATGGTGGAAGTTGATACCACCAGAAAATTGAGATGTTTATGAATAGTACTGATGAGTAGGATGACTTCTAATGGATGACTTCACTGGGTAGAAGTCATCCTACCCAGTGCTGTATTCTGCTCCTGGTCACCCTTGTCTGTCCCTGCCTGTTGGAAATCTCTGAGGCCTTCAAGGCCCACCTCGCATGCCACCTGTGATTCCCCCTCACGGCATGATTCAGCTGACAGGTGTTCATTGAACACTTCCGTGAGGCCCGCAAGAGAAGTGGAATATCCTGCCCCCAGGGGTTCACAGTCTGGGGGAGAAGGACAGGCCAGCTCACCATTGCCTCACAGCATACCCAGGGTGCTCTGGGAGCCCAAGTACCTGACTCAGCAGGTGGGACAGAGAGAATCTGCCACCACTTCTCAGAGGGGCCAACTCAGGCTGGGCTTTGGAGGTTGAATAGGAGTTGGTCATGAGGATGAAGGGGTGGCCTGTGCTGTGAGAGCTCAGGGCTGGGAGTGCTGGTGTGTAGACCTGTTGGAATGCCAGGTGAGAACAGTGGGGATGGGACGGTTGCCAGAGAGGGGGGACCAGGTCGTCTTCCTGCTTGAAACCCCTCTGTTTGCTGTGGCTCACACTGTTATTGATAGTCTGGGCCTCTTATCCACACGTGCCCCTTGAGGATGGGCTGCAGGCAGCTTGAGGGCGGTGGAGAGAACACAGGTCTGGAACTCTCTGGCCCAGCTTCGAGTCCCAGCTTCACCCCTTGCTGGCTTTGTGACTTTGGGCTTATTCCTTAATTTACCCAAATCAGCCTCTTCCTCCGTAGGAAGGCACTGTTCCTACCTCCCCCAAGGGCCATTGTGGAGAGTGAGTGGGGCAGGGACAGGGAGTGCCTAGTGCAGGGCCAGCCACATAGCGGACGTCATCTCCAGCAGAGAGAGGGCGCCCAGGGAATTTAGAATTTCAATGATTATACCTTTTACGGCTGCCGGGCTTTGATCAGAACTATGTCCGCTGACCGGAAGGCTTGCAGTTTTCCCTCTACCAAGTATCTTGGATTCTGGCCTTTGCAGGGCGAATGAACGGGTGGTGGATAAGCAGAGCTCCCCGCCCAGCTCCCAGCTGTTAGAACCCAAAAGCGGGGCAAGCCTTAGAACACTGCCCACTGGGAGAAACGGACACGTTCCCCTGTGTGCATGTTCACCAGCTGAAGGCATTCAGGGGAATCTCAGTCCCCCAGAGATGCTGAGTGGTGCTGGAAGGACTCTGGGGAGAGGAGAAACCGAGAAGCCCCTTAACCGGTGCGGGGTGGGGGGTGGGGAGCAGAGATGAGGTGAAAGATCGGAATCCCTTGTGTGTGCTGGGCTGCATGCACAGGACCAAGAGCTCCTCGGACCCCTTGCCTGTGAGGGACCCTGCAAGGGAACAGCCATCATATTCTACACCCAGCACGTGCCGGGCACACAGGAGGCCTAGGGACTTATTTATGGGGTTCACAGTCTTAAAGACTCCCTGTTTCCAGGACATCGCTGAGAACTGTTATTTTTCCAAGAGTATGTATGTAAAATGTTCAGATACGAGCTGTGCATTGAATGAAAGCTTGTCTGAGTAGCTGTTTTTCCCCAAGACCCTGATGAGTGGAATGAGTGTTGAACTGAGAGGACTAGACTCAGTCCTTGAGCCTGGGACAGACTCTTAGCCCCACCCCTTTCTCGTTGAGGAAATGGAGGCTCAGCGCGGTCCCGGATCTGTCGGTGGAGTCCACTTGTCCACTTGTCCGACCAGGCCAGGTCACAGATGTCACATGCCTTTGCACTGTGGCCGGCATAGGAAAAGTTAACCTTCCCGGATTTAAATATTTTCTTTCAGTCGAGAAGGTCCATTTGGCCTGACCCAATGAAAAAGGTGGAGGTGCTCCAAAGTGGAGACAGAACTCTCGCGGCTGCAGCCTTATCCCTGGATTGTTTGTTCTGGTCTCAGAGCCCTGTCCTGAACCAGGTGTCTTTATCTGATGGTGCTCATGTCTTTTTTTTGCTGCCCAGGAGCTGAGAGAAGATAATATCATTTTAATTGAAACCAAGGCCATGCTGGAGGAGCAGCTGACTGCCGCTCGAGCCCGGGGCGATAAAGTGCACGAGCTGGAGAAGGAGAACCTGCAGCTGAAATCAAAGCTTCACGACCTGGAATTGGTATTGCAGGCTGTTGTCGCTCAGATCTGTCTAAACAGATTGGGGAGGTTTCGGGTTTGTGCTGCGCCCCTCTCTGGCTTTTCCGTCACTGGGTTTGGTGCCGCTGCCGACACAGTGACTCGCTGACTGCAGAGAGTAGCTCGCTCAGCTCAGCGGGCTCGGGTGGGCACCACTGAACGCCTACAGACGGGTAGGACGGTACCTCTGGGTTGCTTTTCTGTACGGATGAGCTAACGTGTGTGTCTTCTGCAAGCAGGGTCTCTGCTGGCTTTTACGGTGTGGGCTGAGCTGTGATCTGTGAGTTTCTTTACAGGCTTCTTAAGGCATGTTAGGTTCCCTAGAGCCTCGAAGCCACCTGTCACCATGGTACTTGCTCTAAAGCCCTGGGCCATAAGTCACTTAGTTCAGACATCATTCAGTTAGAGACCTCGGCTCTCCTGTCACCTCTGTTGCCAGTCAAGGTATCTTTCAGTGGCTGTAACTCTCACAGCTGGGCCCCATGTTGGACTCGTTTCTGTGCAGGGAAGTGAGCAGGTGCCTGGGGTCCATTCATCCTCGGGGAATGAGGGTGAATGCACGGGGGCCGGGGCCTGTCCAGAGGGGTCCCCCCCGGCCACGTTCTCCCTCCGTCCTTCTTCCTGCGCTAGGACCGGGACATGGATAAGAAGCGAATAGAGGAGCTGCTGGAAGAGAACATGGCCCTCGAGATTGCGCAGAAGCAGAGCATGAATGAATCCGCCCACCTCGGCTGGGAGCTGGAGCAGCTGTCCAAGAACGCAGACCTGTCCGACGGTAGGTAGCGCCCGGTGCCGGGGAGCCAGCCTGGCTGAGGCCGCTTCCTCATCCACGGAGCGGAGCCCTCAGCTCTGTATCTTCCATGTCAGGCCATCCATTCACCCCAAGTAAGTAGGATTTCCTTCAAGTGCCATTTGGAACTGTTTCATTACCCTTCTCCCCAAGGAGAACATGAGGGGTCTGGCAGCCTTGATGTCAGGACATGAAACAGAAATCAAGTGTTGCCAGGTTTCCCAGTTCCCATATGGACGGTCCCAGGAGCTTCCAGATTACAGCACGCTGACACCGGAGGGCATCGTAGGCCTGTCTGTGGACGGTTGAAAGCTCTGGATGGCAGGAGACATCCCCAGTGGTCACTAATCCCCACTAGAAATGTACCTTGGGCATTATTTCCTCCATTCATTTGCATAATTGGGCAAGACGGATGCAGTCTGTTCTCTGTCTCTCTGGGTGGGAGCTGCTAAGAGGCTGCTTCTCACAGGACCCCGGCCTCTTCTTTTCCCTCCTATGCTTGCACCGCTGCCCCTGCGCAGACAGATGGGGTGTCGGCCAGGGGAAAGTGGGTGGGGCAGCAGTCAGCACCGCAGCAGGAAGCTTCGGCGCCCAGCAAACAATAAGCCAGTTCCTGTGTTCAGAAATAGCACACGTGCCCCCGATAGTGCGAGTTATTGTTTAGTTAGAGCTGGACAGAGCGAGGTAGGGCTTTTGGCTGGTTTGGGGGCTGCTTTTTCAGTTCTGATAAACACCCCCTCAAATAATGGCAAGGTCGTTGAGTGTAGCTGGAAACGTCTTCTCTTCGAGGGGTCCCATCAGTTCCAGACAAAAAAATCAGCTTATTAAACTGCTCATCTCTGAGGGAAGTTAGTCGTATCTGTGCTTCGGTGCCCGCACACTGTGCTGGGGGCTGAGGGTGGGGTCACTCTGATTCCCGGCTCTGGGAGGAGTACAGGTCCGTCGGGGAGGATCACTGCCCCCTGGCAGAGCGGAGAAGTGGTGCAGGACTCCTGGGACAGTCCCAGACCAAATGAGAGTATTTCTGTTAGAAACCAGGGTGACCTGTGGGGTCAGAAAGCCTCACCCCTTTAGATGACTACTCAGTACAGTCTGTGGGCCCTTTCAGGTCAGTGAGCATGATTTATTCTTGGTGTTGCCAACTCCCGGTGCTTAGCTGGGAGCTGATGAACATTGACTTGAATGAAGGCATGATGCAGGCAGAGCCTGAACATACTTTTGCATGTGTGGTATGCTGCCTTCTTGATTCAGAAAAGACCTGGCTTACAGTCTTGGCTCCTTCACTGGAGGTTAGCTGGGTGACCTCTTTCAGACCTCAGTTTCCTTATCTGCAAAATGGGGGTAATGAAGCTGCCTCATAGGAGGAGACAGTGAAACATGATGCCATGCCTGGCCCACGGCCAACAATAAGGGACAGCTGTTCTTGTTGCCAAGGTCTTAATGAAATACATCCCATCACTCTGGTTGCTTGGGGTGCTGATGAGCGTAGCACTCAGTAGTAAGCTGTTATGTCATAGTACTAGTCTTTGAAGCACTGGCTTTTATGGAAGAAGAAAGGAGGCTCGTGGTCAGTGCTGTTGTTTAACTTGTAGGACCTGAGGAATTAGTCCCCACGAGTACAGAGTTTCAGTTTGGGATGATGAAAAAGCCTGGAGGTGGGTATTGGTGATGGTTGCATAACAATGGGAATATAGCTAATGCCGCAGGACTGTACACTTTAAAATGGTAAATTTTATGTTGTGTATTTCACCCCAATTAGAAAATGTCCTTTCTTCATGAATGCTGCCAAGGTACTGCCCCAGTGATCCCAGGCTGAGAATTAGCTGAGTTTTAGTTGAGATTTGTTTCATTAGTAGCGTGGTTTCATATGTTGCAAGCATGTGTGCTCACGTGCGTCAGTGCTGGGCCTGGGTCAGAGCCACGGGCACTCTCTCCATCTCCACTGCTTCACGGCCTGTTGTTGCTTGGGGTCTTGAGGACGTTCGGGTTTGTTGCGTCTGAACTGCTATCCTCAGTGCAAGATGAGAACTCAGAGAGGGTGGCACGTGCCTTTCAGTCCTTACGATCGCCCAGAGGATCTGAACACACACACCCTTGTTTCTAGCTTGATGTGCTCACTAGGGAAGCCATCGTCCTGTGTGTACCCCTGCCCCTGGGGTGATGAGTAAGAAGCAGGTCGGGGCGCAGCCCTCTTAACAGTGCCATGAGGCTCCCAGAGCTGAGTCCGTGGCACTGATGGGACGGGCGGGGACGGAACAACACCAACCCCTTCTTTCAAGGACTTCCGTACACGTTCCTTTCTCCTCCTGAAAAAGCCCCATGACTTACCTAACGTCATGCACCTGCTGGTGGCAGGAATGAGCTAAGAACTGCCATTCCTGACTCTCAGGTCTATGCCCCCCTTCTCCATTTGTATTCGAGCTCTTTGAAAGAAAGCAGAGTAGATAATTTCCCTTTTTCTATCTTTAGCTTATATTTTCATCGCACTTAGCATTTTTAAAGCAGTTTACATGTACTATCTCATATTTTTGTCAATGTAATCGTGAAATTAAAAAATGAAATCTCTGTCCAAAGGACCTTATTCAGGGATGGCAAGTACTGGGCATATGTGCCCACAGAGCCTTCTGCCACCAGTGGCAGACATAACTAGTCGATTACCGTGCCCCTCCTGCTGAGCCACCCAGACTCCCACTAGTCTCAGAGCTGGCACAGAAAATGTCGCCTATTTGCCATCTCTTTTAGGCTCTAAGACCCTTGAGTTGTACCGTCGGTCAGCTTGGTTAGCAGCTTGGTAAGAAGCAGATCCTGGCAGTTAACACAGTCTTAACGTTTGCATTGGCTTCTTCACTGTAATCTGCTTTCCTCTTAAGCTCTGGGCCCAGCTGAGCCAGCAGAGGGACTGAAACTGCCTGAGGGACTTTGAGGCACTAACAGCGACGGCAGCATGTGAAATGGGGGGCACCCAGCCAACCTATGGGAGCCCTTCCCAGGCCCCTCAAACCTAGGGCATGGGGGCCCGATGGCCCCGGCTCATGGCGGCCCGATGGCCCCGGCTCGTGGCTGGAAGCAGAGGCTCCTGGATCCTGGGCCTGACTCAACTTTGTGCTTCAGCCTCCAGGAAGTCGTTTGTGTTTGAGCTGAACGAGTGCGCCTCTAGCCGCATCCTGAAGCTGGAGAAGGAGAACCAGAGCCTCCAGAGCACCATACAGGGGCTGCGGGACGCGTCCCTGGCGCTGGAGGAGAGCAACCTCAAGTGCGGGGAGCTGGAGAAGGAGAATCACCAGCTCAGCAAGAAGGTAACCCGGCCTAGGCGGGTGGACACCCCTCCCCCAACCCGGTCTGCCCTATAGAGGCTAGTCGGTGGCCAGGCAAGGCAGTCAGGTGTCGGTGAGGATGCGCCGCTGGGAGAAAAGCAGAAGCCAGTGCAGCCGCAGTTAATTACACAATAATAGAAGAACAAGAGCACTTGCGAGAGGAGTTAAGAGGCAGCGTGGCTTGTGCCTGCACTGCCTTGAGGGTACGTCTCGGACAGTACTTGACCTGTGTGCCTCCTCGTCTTCATCTGTGAAATGGGGTTAGTGGGCTTCCCACCTAACACGTGTTGCGTGGACTCCATGAGCTAGTGTATGTAAGGAGTCTGGCATGTGGTAAGGGCTCAGTGAAAAGAAAACAGTGGACTGTGAAAAAGCATAGGATGGATCATAGGGGAGAGGAGGCAATGATGTAAGTCACACCTACGTGTGTGGGGAGTAGGGACCACTGTATGGGCATTTTAGGGCACTGCTGGTGGTAAAACAGGATCAGTGCTCACCCCCTCCTCTCAGTCTACGAGATGGAAAAGAAGAGATGGCTGAACGGTATTTGCCTTTCAGGACAGCTGCTGGGTCTTCCCAGGAGCACAGGAGAACCCAGACATCTGGGAGAACAGACAGAGGCTTACAGAGCAGTCTTCCTTCTGCAGTTAGGAGGACCCCCACCCCCACCCCGCATTTGCACTGGGGATTCAGTCTCAGGTGCAGAAAAGGGCCGTTGAGAGGCTAGGGATCGCCTCCAGGTCTTGGTCACTCCAGGTCAGAGGGCCTCAGAACACCTAGGCCACACTGCGATGGCGCAGTTGCATCGTGGGCTCCGAGCACACCAGCTGTCAGAGTCCAGCTGAGGAAGAGGACACGAGCCCCGTTGCTTGCTGACCGCCATGCAGGCCTGGTGCTTTCGGGTGTCCCACCTGCCCACGAGTCCTGCCAGTGTCATTCTCTGCTGCACAGGCAGTGGGAGGGGCACGGGCTGCAGGGAGAGACCTGGGCTCCGCTGGTCCTGGCTGTGCTGGTCCCTTATCTCTGTGTGAGGCTTGGGACAGCCCCTCCTTCTGTGAACTGGTCTCTGGAGCCCCCTCATGGGACCTCCCAGGCTGATTACTCGCTCTTCTTGTCCCTTTGAAGCATCGTGTGCCATGCAGCATTTCGGCCGACAAGCATTTTGTCCTGCCTTCGTAGGACAATAGAAAACCCCACCCCATCTCATGCGATGTCTCTCAGCGTGGAACAGCATGGGGAAGGCAGCTAGGCGGTTTAGGCTTTTTAGATTCACATGGCCCTAGCACAGGAAATGTCTTTATAAGTGGCAGTTCGACCTTGGCCAAGATAAAAAAGAATCAGCCTTTAGAAAGATGAGAACCGTTGACTCTGTGGGTCCTCACGGGTCTGCTGCAGGAAGCCCGCAACGTAATAGCGCTGGCCCGGCTCCCAGCAGTCCTCTGAGATGACCGCTCACGCTTTTCCCCACCCTCGTGGCTCACTCTGGCCCCTCCTCTGCACAAACAGGATGGCAGTGGGTGCTGCCTGCCCGGCATTACTCCTCAGCCCCCGTCTCTCAGGCCCCACCCTCCTGCTTCCCCTTGGGGTCAGTTCCCTGGTGGGACACCAGCCCTCTCCTGCCACGGTTCTTAGGAGGCATGTCTTGGCATAGAATCCCTGGCAGGAGGGAGGTGCCGCAGTTCCCAGGCCCGTCCTGTGTCTGGTGCCGGGATCCCTGGGAGGCGGCCCTCTGCCCGCCAGAGTGCCTCTTCCCCACCTGCTCAGCCTGCCCGCGGCCTGACCAAACCTGTCCTGGCCCAGCAGCCGTGGTTTTGCTCTCTCCCCCCAGAGCCGAGCACTGACGGTGCCCCCTAACATTGGATGGGTGGACACCTCAGCCCCAGCTGGAGGGCTCACTGGACCCTAATCCATCTCAGCTCACCCCAGTTTCCCTCCTCCAGCCTCAGCCATCCCACCCTCCTCGGCACCCCCCCATGTGGCCTGTCTGGGCCCCAGCTGACACTCGTCAGTCAATCAGTGAACCCCCAGGTCCCGCTGGTGCCAGCCTGGCTCTTACCACACCCCAAGCATAGCCCAGGCTGCAAGCTTGCTTAGGTCTGAAATGTCTGTGGAAACCCTAGTTCCCTGAAGTTAATATCCTCCCCTCTAACCCACAAAACTTCCACGGACCGTAGAGAAGCTGCCTCCTTCCTGCGACTGTGAATCTACATTGATGTCCTAAGAGTTTAGAATCCTTATTTTCAGGGGAAGGGGGCAGCCCTTTGGGGGCCTGTTACTAGAAGGAAAGAGCAGCCCGGGGCTGAGAGGCAGGCCCCCGGCACCTACATGGCCTGGGACCCGGAGTGGCACCTGCAGCCCAAGGCAGGTGCTTTGGGAAGGAAGGACGGGAAACCTCTCAGGGCTGGAAGGCCTGGAGCTAGCCCACATCTCCGCCCAGCGAGTTCCCCCCGGGGCACCGAGGTCCTTCAGGGATGGGCTCTGGTTCCGTGGCAAAAAGAGCCAGAAAAGGAGAGAGAGAGATGGCTTGGGTGTGGGACCTGGGGAGATCACAGCTTTAGACCAGAAGCAATAGCAACGAGAAATGCAGAGGTTGGAATAATGTTCCTTTCTCTGGGAGAGAAGGGGCAGCAGGGATAGGCTATTAACAGTAAGGGTGGGGGTAAGCCAGCAGGCCCCCCTGACTGTGAGTGAGGACTGGGGGGTCGGCCACGGGGGGTGTGCCCCGGCTCTGCCCCGTCCTCACTGCGAGGCCTCGGGCCAGTCGCTGAGCCCCTCTGGGCCCAGTGTCCTCCTGGGTATTTGGTTGCCTTTATTCCCCAAGGCCGTTGTCTCAGGCGTAGGCTTTACCATCGGAGGTGATCCCTGGTGCCCTGCCGAGTCCCAGGCCTTGTGCCAGGAAGTGGGGTAAAGATAAGGAAGGATTAGAAATACGTTCTTGCTTTTGAGAACCACTCGGATGTTTGCCGCGTTATAGCGTGTTTTCCTGTGGACCCCAGCTGGGTGGGGCTCCCCAGTCCTGGGGTCCCCGGGTTGGGGCAGGGGGGGTTGAGGTGCTGCCGTGATATGACAGTAGGAGTATGAGCTCGGCCCGGCTCTCCCCGCTGGTGGGGGAAGGAGCTTGCATGCTGCTCCCTCCTGTGAGGGTTTGAGAGCTCCCAGATCTGTGAGCCAGGAAGGCAGCGTGCCCCTCACCCGAGGACAGGTACGCAGAGTCTGCTTTAGAGCAGTGATCCTTCCGGGAGCTTCGGAAGCCTCCCGTGCAAGGCCCCGGCCCAGGTGGGCTGAACTGCTGCAGGCTCAGCCCTGCTGCTCACGGGGGTCATTGGGCATCTCGGGGTCGTGGCCCGAGGTCCAAGGTCTTTCAGAGCTTCGAGAGCCATCTGGTCTTTGCAATCTATTTTTTCAGGACAGCCATCCCAAACCAGTACATCAGGATCATTTAGGAGCATGTCAAAATGCAGACCGGCTAGTCAGGAGCTCTGTGGGTGGCCGGGCCCGGAGCTCTCGTGGGGAGGGGCAGCGAACATCGCTGCACCCGCCGCCTGCTAGGCGTGTGCCGAGCACGACACAGTGACAGAAGCTCTCAAGGATGCTCGCTGCTGGTCCTGCGTCAGTTACAGAAACTTGCTCGTGGTGATGTCATTAGTAGGGAGGGACTGGACTCTGAACTCTGTCCCTGTGACACCAGAGTCATGCCTCTTTCCCAACTCCAGTCCCCCACGCTGAGGGGTTTGGCGTTGGCGGGAAGGGAAGCCCTCGCAGTGCAGACACCAGCATGGGCATCTCCTAGGAGCTCAATCTCAGGCCCTGCCCTGGACCGACTGAGTGGATCAGGATTCACCACCTTGTCCAGGTGTTAGACACGATGAAGTAGCTAGTTCGTGTTTTAGGAAGGTCAGGCGGGGTGACCCCAGTAGAAGAGCTCGGTGTCAGGGAGGTGATTGGATGGTTGTCCAGGCCAGAGGGAAGGTGGCCCGGCCCTAGCCAGGCAGTGGCGGTAGAACAGCTTGGGTAGAGAGGGCAGGACTTGGGGACAGAGTTACTGGAGGGTGAAAGAGGAAGGAGGGACATAGCGGAAGACCACTCTGAGCAGCTGGGCGAATAGGTGTGTCACCAAGTGAAGTCCGTGGGACATCCAGTGGTGGTGGCCCCGGGCATGTGGTCTGACCCTTGGGAAAGCGGACAAGGCCTGAGATGGGAGCAGGGAGCCCGGAGGCACTTGGGCACATGGCAGTGCGGGTGAGGAGAGGTGGGCTGGGAGGAGGCTGACTGATGGTGCCCCTGAGCTGGAGATGCAAGTCGTGGGTTAGGAGCTGAGGCTAGAGGGGGCAGGGAGGTCCCTTCAGAGCAACGCCTGGACACTTGCCCTTGAGAAAAGTCCCGTTAAAGTGTTCTGTGGGGGCTGATGAGTTTTGGATTTATTTTAAAACGTAGTTCACTTTGTGAAGCCAACTGTTGCCCGGCTGGGTCTTTTGGGTCTGCAGATCGAGAAGTTACAGACCCAGCTGGAGAGGGAGAAGCAGAGTAACCAGGATTTGGAGACCCTGAGTGAGGAGCTGATCAGAGAGAAAGAGCAGCTGCAGAGCGACATGGAAACCTTGAAGGCTGACAAAGCCCGGCAGGTAGGCACCCCTGGAACAGACCCCTCTCCTGAACCCCTGCCTGCAGGAGGGAGAGTCCGGGATTTAGCCATTTCCTGGGAATCCATCAGGGAAACATGCATTACCAGGTACCTAGCCTAGCTGCAGCTCAAACCAGCAACTCTCAATCAGCTGTGGGGGGCACTGGCAGTGCCTGAAGACGATTTTGATTGTCATGACTTGGGGAGGAGAGAGGAGATGCTCTTGGCATGTGGTGGGTGGAGGCCAGGGATGCGGCTAAACGTCCTGCAACACACGGGACCAGCCCCGCATGACAAAGAATGATCCAGCTCCAGACGTCCACGGCGTCCCGCTGAGCACCCGACGTTTGTTTGCCTCCCACCACAGGAAGTCCCGGATGGGGGGCAGTCCATGCTGGTGCAAAGGCTCTGTGATGCCGTGCAGGGGCCAGGCCTCTCCTCCCTCTGCCAGTCTTAGCAGTGGCTGCCACACACCCTGGAGGGCAAGGGGCAGAGGGAAACCCTCCCGGGACCTTCTGTCACATCTTATTGGCCACACCCAACACATGGCCACCGCTACCTGCGAGGGAGCCTGGGGTATCCGGTAGTTGAGTTTTTCAGCCTCTGATGTAGAGCAGAAATGGGGGGAATGGGGTGGTGCCACGTTTCGTGAAAAGACAGGCAGGGCTTCTGCTCAGGTGTGGCTGACGTAGAGGGCAGAAGGACAGGCGACAGGCAAGGCAGTTTCAGACGTGTGCTCTTGAGGGAATAACGCAGAGAACCCTGCTGGATGAAGGCGCTGAGGAGCCCTGGTGCAAGGCTGTCCTGAGGAGCTGCTCACGCTGAGCCCTGGAGCAGGAGGGGGAGCCAGTGATGCTGAAGGCCGCTGGGGGCAGGAGTGGTCCAGGGCAGAGGGAGGATCCTGTGCAGGGGCTGCGGGAGGGGAGAGGCGTGAGGGGAGCCCACAGAGGTGGCGGCCAGGATAAACGTACCAAGGGAATCACTATCGTTGTTTTACGTGAGAGGGAGAGAGATGGGGTTTATGTTTCTAAATCATCCTGGCCGCCATGAAGGCATTTTAATTTGAACTGTCTCCGTAGGGGTCTCCATGCTCTTCACCTTGTGTCCATATTAACCCCTGGGAACGTTAGGACTTCTTTTTTTTTTCTCACTGAAGTATAGTTCAGTTCTGGTGTACAGCAAAGCAGTTCAGGGGTGTGTGTGTGTGTGTGTGTGTGTGTGTGTGTGTGTGT